ATATTTGCCTAGCGGTCACAGACAGAACCTTAGCCAATACACCATGTACAAGTCTTAGCTCACTCTTTGAAAACAAACGCCTTAACGTTTTTAACCTGACTTCCTGAACATTGCTGTTTTGATGTCTCCGACTGTAAAATAGAATATTCCCACCTCTTTGAAGTTATCCTCTAAATACTGTACTTTGATGGTTGACAATAAATTTTCCAACTTATCCTTTCGCCGTTCTCCTGGTTACTGCGTATTTAAAGACCAGATGACAAAGGATTTGGCATGGTGTTAGTGACCCTGTCCTCAAGAAATCCTTCCGGCTAAATCAACACTCTAACGAGGAAAAATAATTGGCCTTTCAGCTCCCTAAGCTTCATTAATGGTAATCGGCATGTACGAATGAGGAAGTAATGAATTTTCCATACGGATAATCCGTTTTAGATGTAAAAGCTTCATGTTTGTTCCTTCTGACTGGCCTCTCGTTACATCACCACTAACTTCATCCATTTCTGTGGAACTTTGAAACGAACAGTTCTTAACCCATTCAACGATCACATTGTCTCTTATTCAGGGATTGTCGGTTAATTGAGAACAACTACATCTACCATACACTGCTTCACACGATTCTGTTACCACAGGTCTTTAAATACTTCAGATCGACTATACTGGTCAGATTTCAAGTGAAAAAAAATACAAAGCCAATACCCATACTTTCCCCTATCCTCATCATGGCATGTAGTTTCGAGTCTTTCCATATTCTTTATCAACAGCATATTCAGCTGCTTCAATATTGGCAAACCTGCTATTTTGCTGATGATAGAACTAATAAATGTGATGAGAGGAGTTTGACATAAACCACTTAGTATGAACTCAGTAATGTGGGTGACTGGTCTGAGAGTTGGAACTTAGAACTCAGTACTAAGGAGTAAGACTAGCTGTGTTTTGTGGACACATCTACCAGAATAAATCTCACTCTCAAAAGGAATGTACTGCCCAAACTCACATCAGTAACTGGTCTAGGAGTGCATTACTGGCACAGCCAAAACTTCTTTTAACATATTGTTAACAGTTTTTCAAATGAGAAAAATGCTAGGTCCCACTGTTAGTAACTTCCCTCTTAGAGATTCCAGAATCGTTCTCTACAAAACATGCACAAGATTTATTGCTGTATACTGCTTATTCGTATTTTTCAACTCACGCCTATTGGATCTTCTGAAGGTTGAAGGAATATAAAAGGAATTTCAATTTACAACTACTTATAAATAACTTATTCCCTTGATGTCATGAACTTAGACCTGATTCACTATATAAAAGAAGACTTAAGTACAAACAAATCCTGTTATTTAAGCTGCTACACAAGCTCACATACTCCTCTAGTAGTATAGTCCTTATCCTAGGCCCACGTGTGCACAACCGCCATCACGAAGTCACTCGCACCCTGCACGCTACACTTTTAAAATATATAGAATTCAGAAGTAACCTTATATTAAATTTCCTCCTCCAAAGTATGATTAAATTCTTCTGGTTGGCCAAGAATCTCACTGGATCGATTGATATTGATCAACTGTAACTGGTTGATACGGAACGCACTTTCTAACCTTAACGAGTCGTTGAGTAATTATAACCATTTGCTGTTCCATCAAAGCCCACAGTTTTGTGAGTTTCCTAAGAATTGTCGTTCGCTATCCGCCCTCACATGCAATCCATTTTCTTACCATCTGTTCCATCTCCTTATCCATTACAGCTCTTAGAACTATAATGTTCTTACGCTTTACCGTCTACTATAATAGACATCTTTCCACTGCCACAGTCTCACTACTCGTATATAGTCTCGACACCTAAACCTTGTAACACAGCAGTCTGTATCATCGTAGTGATGCCCAGCACACAGTCCATAAGTTGTAACAATCTGACTAGCTTATAATATGGAACTGGCGTTTTTCAACATGATGTGAGCTTTAGTCCCAAGCAGAACGTAATGAATTCATGTCGTTGGTCTACTGTTCTTTAAGAATGATGACGAGACAACTAATAAATGATACAGAGATTGTTCTCTCATATAAAATCCTTCATGTTTTATTGCTTATATTTGTTTGCTATACAACCGGGTCATCTTGGTACTTGCAATTTAGGATTCAGAGGTTGGTATTTGACTGGGACAATTTATAAAAAAGAAGTGCAAAAAGCCGAAGTGACGAAGTATTTTAGGACTTATAATCTGGGTCTCTGTTAATTATGCGCATTAATAATTAATGATATTTACTCTCAAATAATAATATTTTACATACGGCATCCCTTTTCACAGGTAGGATCAAGTTGTTAAAAATGCTGCCACATTTAATAAAATAAACTGTCTGGTTAGATTAATATTAGTTTCATTGTTTTTTGACAGTGCAAGTACACGCCATTTTGCAGACGTGAACAGTTGGATAAAAGGACATTTCCAGCAAGTGATTACGAATGCGGTGCGTAGAGTTCTCACATGATATTCATACTTCAGGGGTGATTCACGAAAGGTGATTTCGAGGTTCATTTACACTGTATTTGTGTGGTGAAACAGATTAGTAGTTTTATAATTGTCAGTAAGCGTCTATCGAAAGGCCCTTCGTGCAAACTGTGAGCCTGACGAACTCGTATGTAAGATGTGTGTTATGCGTAAGAACAAGCTTCATAGTTGTTCATTTCTGACAAGGCTCTGGAGAGTAACAAAAGGGAAAACCATTAGCGGGTTTGTAGGAAATTTGACTACAGTATTGTTTAAATGTTCACAGAGGAGCGATCAAAGTAATAATAATACTTAATTCTCAATAACCGAATAAGTTGCAGCAGACAGACCAGTTTACTGGTATAATTTAACTGTTATAGGAAATGAAGCATGTTCTACAGTGAACTAAATCATCCGAATCGGTTATTACTTTATAATGAAAGCTCTCGCTTTAGGACCAGGATAACAGAGCTGATGATGGTGAGAATAAATTTTCGACGTAAATGATGGTGCGTCTTTTTGGTGCTGCATTACAGAAGTGGTTCGACGCTGGATTATGACTCGAACGTTTTACAGTTTCCATAGCGTTGAAAATTGATGAATAACTGCATATAGTTTGGTATGTTTATGTTTTTGGTCTTCATGTGGTTATCATTAGCTTTGAAATTATGAGGTATGGTGTGTGTCAGATTTGTGTTCCGGGCAAACATTTAGAGCACAGAACTTTTTCAACTTGGACGAAAAATGCTAGACATATTTTAAATATTTTTTCATGAGCTATTACAAACCAGTTTATTTCTTTGCGCTTAATTCTGGTTCTTTCGATACGGTTCAAACTATTTAGTAGCGTTCAGTGGATTTCAATTTAACCACTCGACTGCGCTAATCCTAGTCAGTTGAAAATTATATTGTCATGCTAGGTTGTCTGATTATATATCAACAGTTTACTGTTCAGTCATCCTTTCATCAACTGAGGCTTGTTTCCCTGTTGCCATTCGCAATTCACCACACATAGTGCTCATGCTTCATATGAAGTTTTCTCTACCCCAGTTTAGTTTTTGAATCTATGATTAGTTTGAACTTTACATTTATTTATATATCTTCATCTCTTTTATTGCACACAACCAGTAAAATCCATAGTAAAAATTTGCATCGAAATGGATTAGATTAATTTTCGTTTTTTTGAGTGAATCTTAGAAAGCTGAGTCGCGTGCGTTTGTCCGGGCCATTAATTTTGTGCTCGCGTGTGATTCGTTGTCGGGCTGATGAATTATGTGAAGGCTACTGAATCACTAGTTCTGTAGCGGTCGGTATTCAATATGTTCTTAGACTTTTTATGCTGCTTGTCCAGACAACCGTAAGAAAATAGCGCCCCCCCCCCAGTTTATAAATATAAAGTGGATTGAAAATTGTCGAATACTTTTATTTTGTACACTACAATTAGACCACCAGATCACAGGCTCAAAAAGCGAAAATAATATGCGAGTGCCGAAGATCAAGCAAGCAAATGAATGGACATACATATACATACGAAAATGGATGAGTCACGGAAATATTTAAAAGGCTAACATTAAAGCGAATCAAATGAATATGAATGTAGGCGTTAAGCTATCTTCAGTCATGCCTGCGCAAGCTAAAGGAAAAATAATAGAAGTCAGTTGTACATATAAGTTATTTTTATACGAATGATGCAGTTAAATAAGTTAATCAAAAGAGCTTACCCAAATTAAATCTGAACAAACTGAAACGTATGTGGAGGCCATAATTTATGTGATATAGGTACTTGGAAGAAGTCGTCCAAGAGTAACCCTGCGCATCCATTGACCAAACACCTTTAGAAACAACCGACCGTGGTATAGAATATGTCAGGTTACAGCTTAGCAAGAAGGTGGAAAAGAGGGCTGAAGGTGGGCACATCGTAGAAAGCATCAAACTGCGTCACGAGGTAGGCCCTAACTAAAAACTCTTAGCGCCTGAAGGGAGGAAGACCAAAGAACACTGTTGCAGGAATAGGAAGCAACCTTCAAAAGAATGAACAGAATAGAATAAAGAGTTATGTCAACCACTAATGCAAGTTATCTATGTGGATGTTGGCGGTCGATCGAACTTGGACGTTAGTGGCATCATCAATCTGGCTTTTAAGTTATACGTCTTCATCAATTTTTAGCAGAAACGATCAGTCCGTGGTCTTCAGGCACTACCGCTCCGTTGGCGACCGCACAGAATAAGAATAATAGTGTGTGCACCTCCAGACTGTGAACTCTAACGAAAACAACGGAATCGACGATTGAAGGGAATGAAATGAACAGATTTTATCCATCTTGTTTTCTGTCTGCTACTAAGGGACTAAGAATGTTGAAAACTCACAGAACTATTTAATTTACGGATTTAATTATCCGCACGGAATGATCGTTTGCTCAAATTGATAAATCATCGATATAAAGAGATATATTTTTGATTCGTAGGAACTGTCATTTTCAGTCTAGATGTAGATCGTATGAGGCACCTAGTTGACTTCAATAATTTTTCTAGTTTTGTAGCTCTATATTTGTTGTAATAGGGTAGTTCGACCTTGGGAGAGGCAGCAATTTGTATTTGAGCTTGTAGTTTCCACTCTTAGTGGTCATGATTTTATTGCAAATAACGACATAAGTTTAGTCACTTAACATGTAAGTATTATTTATTAAACTGAAAGTTTGTAACTTCTTTTACTTTGCTAAATCCAATCGGTTAGTGATAGCTTACTATCTGTTAGTTTTGAATCGTAAGTAGTAGTGCTGATTCTATTGTTACACAACAAACCCATGAATATATTTTAGGGTCATCAAGTACTGCTCTTGATGATTATTAGGGCAGAGTATGTTGTGTTTGAAAGTGATTTTGCGTCCAATAACATGCAGCACCCAAGTTTAAAGATTAATGTATCTATGTTCTTTCGATTAATATTTTTCAGTAGCATATAGAGTTGATTATTTGTCAATAGGAATTAATTAAAAAAGTGAAGTACATGGCCTAGCAAAATGAATTTTACTATAAAAGCTTCATTTTATTAACTGATCATAGAAGGTTGATTGATTTAAGTAACAACTGTATGTCCTAGTGTTTGACCACTGGATTCAAAGTTATCCTTGCAGAGGATCAAAAAACCAAGGTTGCGTACTCCACATTCTGTATCTTATGATTTATACCGAAGTGCAGAATCGGTAAATGCATCTTGTCTCTCTCGCAAAACCAAAAGTGGTATTTCTGAATCCTAGACGTTTAAAATAGTTTCAGCAGTGATTGAAAGGTTCATAATGTATGTTGTTACGGTCGTTAAACCTACTTCGGAAAATCTCCAGATTGTTCAAATTCATAAAACGGGGTAGAACATTTTGTTCCATGTGTGAGACCAGTGTTAAAACTCAGTGTTCAGCTTGGCAGTACATCTCAGTACTAACCACTACCATAGAATAAATAAAACTAAAAGATAAATATGAGTAGCAGATGTAATAAAAACACTGAGAGTTAATGAAACGACAGATAAAAAATAGTTAGACTAAGTCATTATCTGAGAGTCTTTGAATAACCTCATACAAAAGGGTCAAAATCTCTGTAAATGTAGTATTCTAGAGAGGTAATTTCACGTTTATGTTGACAGGATCTTTCTGTAAAAGTTCAACGACTTCGTTAGTTGTGACTTAAAAAAAATATCAGTCAGCCAGTCACCAACAACGTAGAACTTGGCACATACGTACATCAGTTCAAGTTGCCATATAGTATTAGCACAGTAGATAAAGAATGGGTGCATCTGCACTACTGCGTACGATCTTGAGCCATGTAATTCAAAGTCTGTAACCATTGATTGCGATCGTCTAGCTAACCCCAACTAGATAGTCTACGCCTACTAACATGGTTCGGTCCAATTAGCAATGACCTCATTGATTTGAATGATTTTCTGATCTGACTGCTTCTAACTTTCTTCCTGCCTACCCGTACGTCAGAAAACATAGCTCGTCGAGATAGTCAGTTGTTGAGAATATGTACCATATGTTCCTACTACCTCAACTGACAAATATTCATTACTTCGTCAATTGATTTATCATTCGGTGAGTGATCGCTGCTGACCCAAGATTGACTGAAGGCTAGTTGAACTGGTCCCTAAAATGTTCTGTCTATCAATCCAATCACCTGAACTGAGAATGAGTAATATGCCTTTCAGCTTACCAGACAGTCTCATTAGCAGTCCGATTTTTAGTGCCAACTTCCTTGATACGTCCGAATTACTGTTGACTGTTACCTATTACCGCTGCCTTTGCCATCTCTTTTGATTTCGCTGCCTACCACTGTTTGCAATTTTTGCGTAGGCTTCCCATCAGCCTGTAATTGAGCTGACTCCGCTCCTCATCATATTTAGAGCCATGTAGGATAAGTTTCCGAGCATCTATTAGTTCAGTAGATGCTACTGAGATCCATTGCTACTCCCTAACCTTTTGGTTTACCTTACTATTTCCACAGCTTTTTGGATATCGTGCTTCAAGATGAGCGACACTTACATCGCCGTTTAACTTTTTTTCAAGTTGCTCTCGAAATATTTTCTTGACCATTTTATCGTTAATTAGAACTCTGAAGGATTTACCTTCTCTGTGTTCCTTACATCCAATAAGCCGCTGCTCTTACGAGAGCATGATTTGAATCTAGACATGTACTCCAGAACGAGCGGCAGTCTATTGATGGTTGCTGTAGCCTGGTTTGGTGCAGCCAACATAGATCGTTTGGGTGATCATGATAGGCAAGCCCCACCGCCATCTCAAGATAGCACCTATGTTCGAGAATCAACAAATATCGTAAATGGTAGTTGGAGTGAGTTCAATAACACGGCTGGATAATCATTCAAACAACGTGTATTAGCAGCAAGAAAGCAACATAATAAAATAACAAAATATTTACTTATTGATTGAAACTGATATTTTATTCATAAGGTGTAATTTCCCAAGCATCTCAATAAGAATGGAAATATGCCGAACATTTTGACTGATTTTGACCAGTTTAAAGATTGTAAATCAATACCGATTTGAGATGGTGGAGAAAACTTGTAGCTCAGGTGGAGCTCAGGTGTTTCGTTCTCTGAGCAACCAACTCAGAATCTGAACATGTGCCCCAGAACGAGCGAACCCTTCCATCTGTGGCTGGTGGCGATGTGATCTAGTTGAGTCCAACGTTGAGACGACTTCGGGGGTCACCAGGTCAACAGATGCTTTACCTTATGTCTAAAGTTAGTTTTCGCTAAGAATAGGCGGTTATCTGAGCATACTTGCAACAGACGGTCGCGATTGTCTGTTCTCTCAGCCGCGACACCATAACATCCACTTAGGTGTCTTTTATTTTCACTTAGTCTACCTACTTGAGCATTAAAGTCACCAGCCATTATTACTATATCAGAGCGCCTAGCTTTTTGGAGGACGTCCGAAAGCTTTCTGTAAAACTCATCTTTAACCTCGTCTGAAGTGCAGTCAGTGGGGGCATAAGCAGATATGACGAAGAGGCAACGGCGAGTGTCCCTATCTTTCCGAGTCCTTACTGTCCCGTTTAGTCGGACAGTGCACAAGCGACTATCTACTGGGATCCAGTCAAGGAGAGATTGTTCAGCTCTACAACTCAATGCTATGCCTACACCAGCAAGACCCCGGGAACCAGCATCAGGGCTTCCAGATACTCGAAGAGTAAATCGAGCTGCTTCTTTATTTTGACAAGGTAAAATCAGATTAATAATTTTACTAGGATCCTGTATGCGCGTTTCCGAGACGCAGCATACATCGATGGCACGAGATTCTAGAGTCCTAGCTAATGATGCCTGTTGCCCTATTTGACACAAAGTCCGTACATTAAAAGCTCCAACATGTAGTCTAGAACGGGGTTTCAAGAGACCAGGAAAGACGTTTCGTGAACTCGCTTCGTCTGCATTAGCGGTGCAGTGAGAAAAGGGGCTGTGAGTAGAGATAAGAGGTATATTAGGGGGTGTAGGAAGGATTTGATTTTGATCAATTTGGTCTCGCGTGCTGTTACGGGTATGAGGGTGGTTGTCACTTCCCGGCTGCCCACACCGTGGAAGTCAGATTGAGAAGAGCCACTCTCTTACCATATGCGAAAGTAATGTACACAATTTTTTTTCCGTAGGAATGTAAAAGAGAAAAGTCCCTAGTGTATTAATTAATAATTGACAATTTATGGTTAAATCACGGTGATTGTGTATAGCTGTTTTGAAAATTTGACTCTCTTCAAACTTTCATAGTATTTAAGTTTATATTCATATAATTCAGTGTGATAAAAGGAATGTGAGAAGTGTTATTCGTGAAGATAAGAGAGGTATATTAGGGGGTGTAGGAAGGACTTGATTTTGACCAATTTGGTCTCGTGTGCTGTTACGAGTATTTTAGATACTATATTAGTTAGACTGAATTCCCCTGGGATTGTCACAAGAAGACTTTTGTCCTATCTTATAGATTGGGACATTCAGTGACTGAGCCACACACATTTAGGCGTCCTACAATAGTTGTCTTCCTAGACCTAAAGGCAGCATTCGACTCAGTGGATCGTGAGGTTCTGTGGCAGTGTCTGTCATTGAAAGGTGTACCAAATAAGTACATTGACCTCATACAAGCTCTCTACTCGAACACCACTGGTCGAGTGAGAGCTTATGGCGAACTGTCACCGAAATTCTTTACTTCAAGTGGTGTCCTTCAGGGATGTCGAATCTCTCCATTCTTGTTTAATTTTATCATGACATGCTCCTAGATATACCTTATTTAACTTTGTCATAGACATGTTGCTAGATGTAACATTATCCTCGTCCGACTTTTCAGGAGTAGACTTTTTACCAGGAGGCTCCCTTAGTGACTTAGAATATGCCAATGACATACTCCTACTTGGTGAAGATGCTGACAAAATGCAGAGTCTTCTGACCATCCTAAGCAACAATGCAAGCATGTTCCGGATGCGGTTTTCTTCGTCGAAATGCAAAATGTTGCTTCAAGACTGGGTTGCATCGTCACCTGAACTAATGATATGGAGTGAAGTAGTTGAGCGTGTTGACCGCTTCACTTATCTTCGGAGTCTCGTCAGTGGTGATGGCCTGGTGACTGACGAAATCTCAGCACGGATACAGAAGGCTCGATTGGCTTTTGCCAATTTACGCCATTTATGGCGTAGGCGAGATATCCGTTTGCTGACTAAAGGACAAGTGTACTGCGCAGTAGTTCGCTCTGTCCTACTATACGGATGCGAAACATGGCCGTTAAGAGTAGAGGACATTCGTAAGTTACTAGTCTTCGATCATCGATGTCTCCAAAGCATTGCTCGTGTATCCTGGGACGACCAAGTAAGTAATGCTATCATTAGGAAACAAGTTCTAGGTAAGGGTGGTAGATCAATAGATGAAGTAATGAAACTTCATCAGTTGAAGTGTTTGGGACATGTTGTATGTATGCCTAACCACCGACTGCCTCGACGAGCTATGTTTTGTGGTGTAGGAGTAGATTGGAAGAAAGTTAGGAGCGGCTAGACCAAAACATGGCAGAAATCCATAAAGTTACTGACAAGTGGACTGAGTCATGTCGGTAAATGTAGGCTGATCTGGTTGGGGTCCACGAGACGAAAGTCACCAATGTTTAAAGACTTTGAATGGCATGGC